CCAGCTGACCAGGAGGGGTGGCACAGGTGGAGCCCCTGGGCTCATTATAAGAGCCAGCCACTCAAAGGAGAGCGTCCCTCGGACCTGGGCTGTTGCTAAGGAGTGCTGCACGGCCAGGAGCTCCTTCACCAGCTGGGTGAGTGCTGTTTTTCTTTCTGTACAGGACTGTTGGTCTATGTGCAAATGCTTTGGTATCACCAAGAATCTGACAAAAACCTTTTTTTCTTTGTGAGTAGAATAACAGCTTAGCCTTTGTAATTAAGTTTTACATGCAGATAAATTTACCAGTTACCATTGCATTAAAATAGTAAACAAGTCTTTGGGATGCTTTTGAAAAGGTTTTTGTGATGAAAAAAGATCTCAGAAAATAAAAAGACTTGCAGTAGAGCTATCAAAAGGATCCCAGGACTTCCTGGAAGAATCTGTGGTTTTCACAAACCACTGATACATGACAATATGATATGATGTATTACTGGAAAGCTACAAGCTCCACCAGGAGCTTTTCCTTAAGGAGCAAACTATTAAACTGTTCCACATGAAAAACCCCTAAAGCTACAACAAAAAATTACCAAAAGTAACTGTAATACATACCAACTCAGCACAGAGTAGTTGCAATCCTGTTTAATCCAGCTAGCAAGAGCAAGAAAGGTATGACAGAACAGTACAGGGCCTATGAGCACAGCACAGGGGGAAGTCTCTGGGGAGTGGGAAAGACCAGAGAAAACAACCCTAGTGCTGGCAGCAGGGAAAAACGCCCTGCTGCCATCACTGCTCTCAACTCTCATGTGCTCATGAACAATCACTTCTGTCAGTCCCTGTGCAACACTTCTTTAGGCTTCATAATGGAGAAAATATCAGAGAGGATGAAGGCTACAGGAGGCTGGAAGGAGATGCGTGTACCTGTTCTATTTAGCATATTTTTCCACTTAATACATGCATTTGAAAGAAATTACACTGTTCTTCAACTTCCAATAACCTTTTCTAAATGAAAGTACAAAACTGACATAAAAACTGATCAGAACTGGACAACATTGTTACCCTTCTTGCTTTCATAACTTCCTAATCCTCATCTGCTAGAAATTGGCTATTACATAGGAAATAGTATGGGAATTTGGATCTGCACTAACACAGCTTGCATAAAACAGCTCTTGGCTGTCTTTGTATCTATGACCATGACAGAACCGTGATACCTTGCAACAGTACTAGAACACTTCAGCAGAGGTCAGCCATAATAGTTAGAGCAATGCATTACTATCTTAATCATCTGTTATTGGAATGTAATTGTCATCTGACAGGAAAAATCCTTATTCAATTTACCATGTGCCCAACTCAAAATCAGTGCATTTTTAGCAGCAGTAACTTCAGTTCTTCAACACTTGAAAACATTTACTTAAGTAAATATAACAATTTTTCTACTGAGCATAATAATTTCCTCACCAGACTTGCAATAATATTTTCATATTAAAGCTTTCAAGTTACACTCTGCTCTCTGCAAGACAAAAATCAGAATAATGAAGGCTCAATCATCTTTCTGACTACAGCATCTTATATGCATAAGATGAAACTAGAAATATAGTGACACATAAAAATATTTCTTATTTCTGTGCCTAAACAAATTTCCAACCTATTGTCACAGTAGCTCTGGAATTCCTAGCCTTCCCCCCCACACTTCTTCTTTCCCTCCCTGGTATTTTAAACTAGATACTAACTACTCCTTCCTGGTATTAGCCTTTTGAAAATAGATGCCATTTTGAATGAATACTGTTTTTAGGTGGTTATATTGCTTGCAGAGGACCAAGAAGAAACATTAATTCCTTGCTAATCTGATTAGCTACTGTAACAGGTAATTACAGCACAACTTTCTCCAATGACACTCTCTAACCTTGTAGACATTCCTAAAGATGGAAAGCATTCCAAGTGCGTTCTCGTTACCTGTGACAGCTAATCATGGTAGAGAAATATTTTGAATCCGGAGGAGGATTTAATTAATAACACAACACTACTTTCTAAGTTACCTTTCCTGAAAATTAACATAAGTTAGTTATATTCCACATAGAAATATAGTAAACTTGACTACTCCTCAGTCTGCTGTAGTTTCTATGCTACCTTAAATCTTTGTCAGTAATAAAGACAAATTGATCACCTATTTTGTAAAACTGACTTGATATTGCCAGGTTCAGCTGTAAGCCAGCATGTCATCTTCCAGCAATTGTACAGAATGGTGTAAAGCCCCTTAGTGCCAGCATCCGTAAGTCTTTATTCTTAGGGATGAAATACAAGTTGACCATCTCTCACTCAGCTGTGTGTCTGTAACAAGTTCTAGATATTACCAGCAGGATTCTCAGTGTGAACAGATATTAAGAAGAAGCTGGAACATTGTTTCAATTCTCATCTATTTAGTTCAGTAATAAAACTACTGGTGAATGGACCAGAAAAGATTACTTCTGCAATTTTTTGCTTCATTTGTTGAGATATTTGCATTTTTCTACTACTTAATGGTGATCTAGTTTATTTCATGCCTGGAATCCATCTTCATTGCTCATACTATTTGCCTGAGTTAGATTTAACTCTGTCCCAGTTTAACAGATATATATATTTTTTTCCCCTCTAGTGGCATGAAATGAAAGACATTTTAAGAAGGAACAAATTCTAGTGGCCATAGAGCATGAAGATGTTCAATAGAGAGCACAAAGAAATCACACCTTTTCTGGAGGGGGGAAGAAACCCTTTATTAAAAAACCTGAATGCTGAAGGAGAAGAAAAGGAGCACATGTTCATAATGGCACACACCAAAAAAAAAAAGAATCAGCAACAGACTGGTTCTACAGCTGAAATAATTTCAGTGGCTTGAGGAACTGGAAAAATAAAGATGTTCACAAATACTGATAACCAAGATATCATGAGATGCACTCTTGAGAAAACTAAGCCTCTTAAAATCAACTGTGTGAACCATTACCTACAAAAGGTAGCTGTCTCATACATTCCTGTAAATCAACAGGTGTTCTCTGTACCAAGGTTTACCATACAAAAAAAAAAAAAGCAGGATGTTGTAATATACAGGAAGTTCACAAGCATTCATATCAACTCATTACTCTGCTGGAAAATAATATTTTGAATTAAAAACTGAGAGCAGTGGCTTCAAGATATGCAAGGAAAACAGAACTGAAATTTCAAAAATCTGTCAGTGTTCCTTCTCATGTGACTTTTAATAATCTTTTGGGAGATTAACATCTGGCAAACTATGCTTTTTGTTTGTTTTGTTTTTTAATCATTGTTAAGCACTGTTCCTGTCTTTCTCTGATGCTGAGTCAGAGAAACACTGGCAGAAGGACCCTTCACTGCAAGTCATATGAATTCCTTAAAATGGCTTGGCTTTTTGATTATCTAAAAATGAAATTTCTAGAAAAAGTATCAAGTCAATTCCTTCGTACTGCTTACCTCTTTGTTCTATTAGAGCAAAAGTCCTCCCTAACGCACTTCAATTTGAGTATCATCCACTGAGATAAAAATCCTATGTCAAGTTAGGTGCAATATACCAGCTCTGTATTCTGCTATCTGCCACACCCACCCAAGGGTATAAGCATATTAAATACGGATACATCCACATCTTTAAATCTTACTGTTTAATGCATTCCCAGAACTTACATTCATTTCTGAGGATGATTTAGCTAGTGACTTTTCTGTTTGTGTTTTTATAAGAAATTTCTTAGCCAAGAAAAGCTGATTAAATAGATAGTAAAAGATAAAGGTTTGCTGGTTTAGATATATTATGTTATTAATAAATATCTAATTTTTTTTTTTTTTTTGTTCCAATGGAGTTTTATAAGTAATTGCATCCCCGATCAGAGGACAGGGGAGTGAGGGGGAACAGATGAGAAGAGGCCTTTCTGGTTAGCATGAAGCTATGTGTGGGTGTGATTCTTCAGTCCCACAGACAGTAGTTCTACTCCACCATGTGAATGACAACCCAGACATCGTAGCTGTGTGAATAGTGCTCCAAACTGAGCACACCTCTACCCCTCCAGCAGAAGGGGTGTTACACATACTGACAGGTTCCTCCCTTCTCAGTAGATATAGTCAGGTTAAAAAAAAATAGGTCACACCACCAGTAAAAATGATGAAATAAAATGGTACGACAGCACCCAAACACTTAAATTGTTATTTTCTGCCACACAAGACAACATATCCAAGACAAATGGTCCAACACTGACAGCTCAGTCACTGGCTTCTTGCGACAGCTAACACGAATGCAGGAGAAAAGCAGCGTACCTGTGTCAGGCTCACGTGATACACACGTACGCAGACACTCCTTCCCCTCCCAGCACCAATGATCGCCCAGACGCAATTAAGTGTGCAGATACATGTCTATATGAATGCATACAAATACGTACACGCACATCTTCACGAGCACCGAGGCAGACAACAGCCTCGCTTCCACACGCCAGCCCGCCTTCGCTAAGCCCTACAGCTAGGACTAATAGACGCGGGACTTGAAACCACCAACCAAACGAACAAAAAAGCCCCGCGGCGCAGCGACGAACCCCGAGCGCTCGCTCCCTCCTGCGCCGGGAGAAAGGACCCGAGCGGCTGGGCTCGGCAGCGCCACGCGGGGGGAACCCGTCCGCCCGCAGCTCCGCAGGGTGGGGACTCGCTCACCGAAGCTGACATTGTGTGGATGCTGCACACCGCAGCCCCGCCGCGCCGCCCAGCCCGCTCCGAGGCACGCCTCACGCGGGGAATAGCGAGCCCCCGCCGGCCATCGGCGTGCAAACGCTCGCTTTGAAAGAAACGCCCCCGGCGCCGCGCGGGGCGGCTGCCGCCGCCTCGCCGATCACCCGCCGCTCCTCCGCCCCGCTCCTCCGCCCGGCGCGGTACCTCCGCAGCCCGCGGTGAGCCGAGGGAGGCGGCAGGAAAGGCGCTGCCCGCCCTCTCCCCCTCAGCCGCCGGCCCCCAGAGGCGATGCGGCGCACCCCCCGGCGAAGGGCGGCTCCCCTGCTCACCTCGCCCCGGCTCGGGGAGCCCCCGGCGGGAGGACGGCGGCGATCCCCCGCAGCTCAGAGGGCAGAGACGGCAGGCACGCTCTCGCTGGCGGCGGCGGCGGCACCGGAGCTCCGCTCGCGCTCCGCCTCGCAGCCCCCCGCGGCTGCGGTTGCTGCTGCTGCTGCTGCTGCTGCCGCTACCCGCCGCTCCTCCTCCCGCCGCTAATGGTGGCCGCCACCGCCGGCTCTCCGCTGCCGCTCCCTTCCTTTCCCGTTTCTTGTTTCCGCCGAGCGCAGAACCGCCCGGCAGCCGGAGCACGTCCCTGCCCGGCAGCGGAGACGGCGCTCCCGCCCCAGTCCCCGCCGCCGCTCCGGGCTCTCCCCCCGCCGCTCACTTCCGGCGAGGCTGCGGCTCGCCCCGCCCAGCGGGCCCGCCGCCAGAACTCGGGGGGCGGCTGGGGCCCCGCGGTGCCGGGTGGCCGCCGGCCGTTGGGCGGGCGACGGTTGGGCCGGCGCGCGAGCGGCGGTTGGGCGATTAGCGCGCGGGAGCCGTTGGCGCGCCGGGGGCGGTCGGGCGATTCTCGCGCGGTCCCGCACAGCGCCGCCGCCTCTCCGCGCCGAGTCGGAGTCGGGTCGCGCCGCCGAGTTCCGCGGAACGAGAACGGAGTGGGGCGGCGGGCGGCACGCGCTGCGCGAGGCGCGGCCGAGGTGGCCTGGAGCGGCCGCGGCCGCCTCGTGCCGACCGGCGGGTCTCCCGCGCGGGGACGCGTTCTCCCATCTTGGGAATGCACGCCATTCCGCAGTCGCGTCTCCCGCGGAGCCGGCCGCGGCCGCCCAGAGCCAACGCGAGCCGCGCCCCGCGGGCACGGTGTCCCCGAGCGGGAGCTCCGCAGCAAACCTTCGTTCCGCGGGGCGCGCTGCTTTCCGAGACTGATAACAACCGTGCACGATGGTGCCTGGGCTACCTGTGCAAATACTGAATTACCGATAAGGTTATAAGGTGGGTTAAAAGCTGTGCGAAGAGGCAGCTTTAAAACACAAGCTAGCAAGCAGGGAAGGTATGTTCATGTATACGTACAATAGTGGTTTGAAAACAGTCCACACGGAATTGCACTGCAATGGAAACGAACAAATCTGCGCCATGTGAACCTGCTGCAGCACAAGAGCGCTGCTCAGATCTGGACAGCACACAGAATGTCAGCTGCAAACATCCTGGGCGAGCTGAGATCAGTGCTATGGGTGCAGAAACACCTTGCCTCAATTGCACCTCTGAACTTCTGTAAAATATCAGTGTGAAATAACAGTATGAGCTTATCCCTTAGAAACTGCAGCAGCCTCCTGCAATTGCAAAATTTTCATCTAACCATGCAAAATAATACCTCACTGAGGCTACAGTGCCCCTGCTCACAACGAGTGAACGTGTGGGCTCATGCTGTTTAAAAGCAGCAATAAGGACTTGAGTGCTGTTCTGCAGCTGCTGAGTGTCAGCAACAAACCCGACGTTACAGGCAGGTTGGGGTTATCACCATGTGCATTAATCCCACCAGGTTATGAATGATCCTCCATGGTCCTGCTGGGATCAGGCAACCACCACCCTCCCCAGAGGCAGAATGGGCTCATGGTATCAGGCACTGCCATTGCAATGCCACTGCATGGAGCAGCCAGTGTGCACACCAAACCTAGCACGGCCACAGTGCCAGCTCACCTTTAGCTATGGAGCTGCATGGCCATGGGGTGTGCAAAGCTTCACACATTCAGCTGTGAAAATGTACAAGGAAAAAGAGGCCATGGGTGATGCATGCAAACTTTCTGGCATGTGGAAATGTTGTTCTTGTATATCAAACTTGTTAAAGGGCCTTGAGTCAAAGCAGACATTGCAATTAATTTAATGTAGAGTAGAAAGCAGAGCCAGACCATTTTAAGTGTGACAATCAGATGGGATCTCTGTGCATCCTACAGAACCACTATCCAATTACAGCAGTTACTAGCATAAAGTCATCCCCCACCTGGGGAAATAGCAGTACATGGTGGGTAAGGTCTTCAGAAAAGCATAGGGAATTTACTCAAACATCTCCCAATAAAATTAACATGAAATAATGAAAGTAGTCCAGTCTTTTGAATAAGTTAAAAGCTATACACATTTCCAGATAAGAAAAGATAAAGTGGATCGCTGCTTTTAATGGGCTGCAGACCTGTTCTCCTTCCTAGATGTTGTCTATCAGTCTTGATGTTAAGAATGGCTGAGCGGCACTGGAGCTGAGCTTACCTCTGAATCCTTTAGAAATTTTACTTTCTGTGTATATATAATTCTGAATTAGAAAACAAAGACGAGGTAGACTTTTGGATCATTAGACAGTTGCAGGAACTTCTGCAAAGGAAATGTCAGGTGAAGGCTGAAAATCAACATCATGTAATTCACATCTTGGTTGGTTTTTTGGACCCAAGAAAGTCCAAAGACTCCTGCAGCAGAAATCCATACTTTGGTGATGTGTCAAGTTTTGCCTCCCAGCACAAGAGAAAACTTGGACATACTGGTGAGAGTCCAACATAAGGCCACCAAGAGGCTGAGGGAACTGGGACTGTTCATCCTGGAGGAGGCTCAGGGAGTGTCTTATTAATGTCTATAAATACCTGAAAGGATAGAACCAGGCCCTTTTCAGTAGTGCCAGAGACAGGGCAAGGGGCAATGGCCACAATCTAGAACAAGAGTTCCAGTTCCATCCAGTGAAAGTTTTCTTGTGCATCAATGACTTGCTCAACCTGTACTTTATCTTTTTCTACTCAGCTAGCTATAATGGATTTCCAAATGGGAGTTATGATGAAGTATTGCAGCATTTCTTAGCAACAGGTATAGCACCCATAGCCATTAACATAAATAATTCAGCTCATTCAGCCTATACTTCAAAAATGTCTTTTCTCAGATTTTATCTACTGCTCAAAGTAAACAAGAATATCTGAAAGGCTTCTGACCTTGAAACAAGAAGGTGTAATGACAACAGTCTAGAACAGGAACAAAGACTTGGACATGAGCTTGTGGGGCTTCAAGCCAGCCATCGTGATGCACAATCCATTGCAGAAACTTCTGTTCAGGGTTAAGGCTGCTGGACTTTCTTGGGGCTACTGCTCTTTCTTAGGATGGGCTGCTGTTATTTGCATGTAGGAACAAGTCCAAACCACAAGCACTGGAGTGAAAGCACTATTTTCTGGACTCATTTCATCAGTGTAAATTAGGAAAATCTTGAATAATTCCAGCTGAAGATTTACAGCAGGATGGCAGGTCTGACTCCAAAGCACACAGTGTAAATGAAAATGTGACAACTCTCTTCTTATGTACTTTGCTTTTGTTGTGCTTCTCGAAAGTAGAGAAATACACCTTATTATGTCAAGGTGATAATTTAAAGCACAGAGAGTAACCTAACCTACAGTTAGTGAGGAAGTCTCTTTTTGAGACAAGGTCAGATTCCTGTTCTCACTGGTCCCAAGCCAATCTCCTGCTTGGTAAATCACTCTTCATCAAGACTTATTGACTGAGATTCTTTTTATAGAAGTACCAAGGTTGCCATGATACAGACGAGCAAATAATCTACCTATAGTATTCATCATCATCATCACTTCTGTTAGTGAAAAGTCAAACCATCCCATCACACAGCTCAATAAACCAGCAGGGCTAACACATGGCAAGAAAACATTCCTTGACTCTCAAAGCAATCAGCTTATGCCGCTGAAGCAGGAAGCTTGTTTGTCCCCTGTTTTAATCTAGCACATGCAGCTGCAAATGTTGTCTTTGCTCACAAAGCTTCCTAAATCCTTTTTTTTTTTTTCCTAATTCTACTAAACTCCTTGCCCTGATGACTGCCAATGGCAACTGGGCCCCATAGGTAGACAACATATTGCACAAAATAATATTGAAAATGTGTTCTGGAAGGTTTTGCTCTATAATTTGGAACATGGAGGCTGCCACTAGCTGACTTCACTAGGCACTTGATGAAGTTCCATCTTAAATGAAGTTCCCCTTTCCTCCATGATTTATATTACCCTCCATGATTTATACTACTTTCCTTTATCCTTTATTCTTTATTCCACACAGGTGACTTACTGGTCCTTTTTTAGGTCCTCTGAGGAAAATGATGGCTTTCACAAATGTATCTGAGTATATCTGTGTAGCCATGTGTGTAAATATAGGGAAGCAGCAAAGGTTAAGATCTTCCAACCTATAGAGCACCACAGGGACTCTCTGGAGTCCCCTTCTGTGCTGATGTCAGTAAATGATTTTAATGGGAGCAGGTCTGAGCTAATGCTGGCACTTTGGAAAATCTCACCCAAGGGATTCAGTGATGTTGAAAGTGCTTGAGGCAGGTTAACTGTAGGGCATTTCCACTAATGAGGAATGGCACAGTTGTCTTTATTAATTTTCCTTCTCTCACAGTACATTTAGAGTGTATATATTTTATATCTAGAGGAAAAAAAATGTTTAAAATACTTTTATTTTTAGAATTTTTTACTGAGAAGCAGACCAATGAGTATCTTTTTGCATAACAGCTACAGGACTTGAGATCTACTATTGCCCCCAAGCTCTAGTAATACTCCCTAGTTGCCTCTCCTCTTCCTTCATCTGACTTAATATGATTACAGGGGAAAATGATGTGACTGCGGTTCCAACCAAAGCAGTTTTGTTGGCCTTTCATAGAACTTCCTCATCTCCTTGGAGGTAGGAGGTGCCAATACTTTTCTGTAAGGCAGAACCTTGAAAACCAAGAGAAAAAAATCTCAGTGGAGACTGATTGGAAAAGGCACATAAGCACAGGAGAAAAAGAAACAGTGACAAACTGGAATGAGGTGCCCAAAGCAAGGTAGATGTTGTAAACAAATGCTAATGTAGGAGACACTGGCTGTGGCACAGTATTTTTCTGGGAAGTCACTACTTGGTGAGTGATCAGTATGAAAAAAAAAAAAAAAAAAAAAAAAAAAAAGCCAAAGCCACAGCAGCAACTTTGCAAACAAATCTGCTAGTAAATATGCCCTGGAGTGTCTTTGTTTTCCTTAAGCTATGACTCTTAAAATTGTGTTGTCATTAATTCATAAGAATTATGAAGATCTGGC